ATTGTCGTTCTGGGAATAGAAGTAGGTGTTTCTATATTAAAAGTGGAGCCTCAGGGCATCATGTGGAAAATTCTAGTGATCACACTAAAAATGATCCCACTTTTTAAAAATATATATTTTTTATTGATTTCAGAGAGGAAGGGAGTGGGAGAGAGAGACAAATATCAATGATGAGAGATAATCATTGATCGGCTGCCTCCGGCATGCCCCAGACTGGGGATCGAGCCCACAACCCGGACATGTGCCCTGACCAGGAATAGAATTGTGACCTCAATTCTGTGCTTGCCGTTTTCATAAGAGACATGAGCTGTTGTCGTTCTGGGAGTAGAAGTAGGTGTTTATATATTAAAAGTGGAGCCTCAGTGCATTTTGTGGAAAGTTCTAGTGATCACACTAAAAATGATCCCACTTTTTTAAAAAATTATATTTTTTATTGATCTCAGAGAGAAAGGGAGAGGGAGAGAGAGACAAATATCAATAATAAGAGACAATCATTGATCGGCTGCCTCCGACATGCCCAAGACTGGAGATAGAACCCACAACCTAGACATGTGCCCTTGACCGGAATCGAACCCAGGAACCTCTAGTCCATGGGCCAGTGCTCTATCCATTGAGCCAAACCAGCCAGGGCTGATCCCACATTTTTATCTCGTGTCCATTACAGTATTCTTGTGAAATGTCAGAGTAATCCTCATGATGTATTAACTATTGGTTGTCTAATCGCTAACCTTATAATTATTAAATATACTTAATTGTTCTTTATTTAAAGGATAAAAGAGACCTTCTACCCTGATATTCCTAATCCTGAAAACTGTAAAGCGTTACAGTTTCAGAAGGCTGTCTGTGAGGTAATTCTGTATTTTTTTTTTACATTTATCTTTGAAGTACTGGCTTTTGGTATTTTTAGTCTTTTATGAAAATTTTTAACATGCAAATGTCATCCTAAGTGAAAGAGATGGAAAAAATAAAGGGCTCTACCATCTGCTGAATTTCTACGATAATTATTTTTAAATCATTGGTATCATACTCTTTTCCCACTGCTGTTCATCGCAAGAATAACATCGATATGGAGGGACAAAATTAGCTTTGCTCCAGTAGGCACTGCAGGACGCAGAGACGGGTTTTTACAAGCAGATGTGAATAAATAGATGCAGTAATGTGGCTTTTCGTGGGAGCTTTGGTGCTGTCTTTAATCTCTGCCTTAAAATTGATTTCCAGGGAAGCAGCGCCCTGAAAACGTTAGAAATGAATCCCTGTACCCCGAATAACATCGAGGTTCTGGAAACTCGAACGGCAGTTCCTAAAATAGAGGATACAGAGATCATTTCTCCCGTGGCCGAGCGTCCCCCGGACAGCTCCGAGGCGGAGCCCGAAAGCCACCTGGCCGTGTCCTACTGTCCCCCCGTCATCGAGGAAGAAATACCGAACCCAGGCCCAGAGGAAGCCGGGGGCACTGCCCAAGTCGTGTACATCGACGTGCAGTCCATGTACCAGCCGCAGGCCAAGCCGGAGGCGGAGCAGGACGCGGACCCAGGGGTGGGGGGCGGCTACAAGCCCCAGATGCACCTCCCCGTGACCTCCGCCGGGGAGGAGGCTGCCGTAGAAGGGGACTTGGAGAAAACGGCGGGTTACAGGCCTCAGGCCAATGTGAACGCCTGGACCTTGGTGTCCCCGGACTCCCCCCGGTCCATGGACAGCAACAGCGATGTCGTGTCTTTCGGGAGCCCGTGCTCCATCAATTCCCGACAGTTCCTGATCCCCCCGAAGGACGAGGACTCTCCACGATCCAATGGAGGAGGATGGTCCTTCACAAACTTTTTCCAGAACAAACCAAACGATTAACATGTCACTGCCATCCGCCATCTCATAAGCTCTCATGGCCAGTGCGGCCACGTGGGCCCGGGCACCCCGGGGGGTCCTGTGAAGTGTTGTCAGCGAGGTGGGCCCTGCCACGTGTGTCACACGGCAGTGTCCTCTGCTTTCCGTGTAGTCTACACGCCACGGCAGAGTCACGCAGAGACGCAGCCCAAGGTCTGGAGCTGTTTGTGATTTGAGCCAAAGAATTCTCCCTTTCTCTCCCTCCCAGAAGTATTTCAAGCCGAACGCTGCCCGGTCCATACGTGCAAAACAAATCCCGCGGCCACCGTCCCCTGTTCTGTCATCTATGGTTTTCTCATATGGACACTGGACGGAACTGCAAGCAGGTTTGCAGGCAAAGGGACTGTCAGAGCCACAGAGGCCGTGGGTTTGCCTGACATTTACTCCATCCTGGATGAAAACCAAGCACAGATCTGAAAACCTTTAACACTTCTCCTCCGCTCTCCACAGCACTTACAGAAGTTAATGTCATTGTTTAATGTAGCGACAGCTGGTTAGTGTTTTGATCGATCAGTGTGCTGATCGCGGTGCCTACTGTATAATGGGTATCAATCACACAGTTTTCTCAGGGGTACAAACTTGGAACAGGAGCACGACACTGAGCAGCCTGAGTCAGAATCGTCTTTCCTGCCTCTGGAGGGATTCTCCAACCTCTCCGTTAGTTTTTTAACTTTTCTGCTAGCTTTCCATATCACACTTGATTGCCTAGTATTTAAAACTTAAATTCCTAAGATGATCTAAGTTGTTGTTGTTGTTTTAATTTGGGTTATTTTTTGTTCCACAGTGTCAGTTGCATAAATCTATGAGCAAATTCAATATTACCCATAAACATACAATAGCGGTGATTTTCTGTTTGAGACGACTACTGTGCAGGGTCTAGCGGCGTTAGCTCTCTGTGCGGTTGTGACGGCTTCAGGTTCTCCTGGGTCACCAGGCAGCAGCTGTGACACCTTGTAGCCGATGTTCCTTCTGATCACGCCTCTTAGCCGTTCCTCTCTCTTATGTGATCATCAGTCCAGACTGTTTGATCCAGGCCTCCATTTTTAAAAAGATAAACTAAAAAGATCATGCTTCGTACAGGGACAGTTACTCAAGGGCTCTCTTAGGTGAAATGTCACAAGACCCATGTGAGTCGATGGCCACGCCTGTGTTACAGCCGCGTGGCACGCTCCCCAGGGCAGCCTCTGCCCGTGGTGTTCACAGGTGATGTCTGGATTGGATTTGGTTCTCAGAAAAGCAGATGAAAAACTACAAAGAGTGTCTTATTTTGTTCCTGCCCTCGGGTGGTCTATGTATTTTGTCTTTTGATACTTAAGAGTACTTAAAATTTTGAAATATCTTAAGTCAAGATATGCCTGTTTTGTTTTTTTTCTCACCAGAGGTTCTGTAATGGATTTGTACATAATGCATCAGTTTGGGGGTTTTCTAGCTCATAATGTATCTTTATAAAAACCATGTTGTGGAAAAAAGCCACAGGGTGACAAAGGGCAAGATCTGTTTAGGTGCTCTGTGTGTGAATCCTGATGTTAGCTGCTGGGATTGAGCTTCCACGATATGTGGACATGTGGAACAAAATAGAATTGTGTACATAACACTTGAACAGGGGTCCTCAAACTTATTAAACAGGGGGCCAGTTCACTGTCCCTCAGACCGTTGGAGGGCCGGACTATAGTTTAAAAAAAAACTATGAATAAATTCCTATGCACACAGCGGCAGCAAAAACACCCGGCAGGCTGGATAAATGTTTTCGGCGGGCCGCATGTGGCCCGCAGGCCGTAGTTTGAGGACCCCTGCACTAGAATATTTAAACTATGTAATAGTTCATAGAGTTTTCATCAATGAGATAGGTATCAAAATTAGAACATCCCTAACAGGGTTAGCTTGGTTGGACTCCTGCCCTTAACGTTCACCCGAGACACTCAGACCTGGGGCTCCCTCCCCAACCCCCCCCAAAGCTCATCATCACAATACTGCTTGTTCCCAACAGGATCCTGCCTCATCCCCCACAGAAACCCATAGGTCCTTCCCTTCATCTCTTTAAGTTGGATCAGTGTTGTCTAAGGTGGGAGTTCATTGGTCTAGACTCAGTCTCCAGCCGTGGGCAAACTACAGCCCGCAGGCCGGATCCAGCCCGTTTGAAATGAATAAAACTAAAAAAAAAAGACCGTACCCTTTTATGTAATGATGTTTACTTTGAATTTATATTAGTTCACACAAACACTCCGTCCATGCTTTTGTTCTGGCCCTCCGGTCCAGTTTAAGAACCCATTGTGGCCCTCGAGTCAAAAAGTTTGCCCACCCCTGGCTCTAGACGACTACACTAAACTGAGATCATGGGAAAAGATCAGCAAAGATTGTGTGAGCTCGGTCACTGATACTGATGTGTTTCAGCTGTGACCGTCTGGACCCAGTGCCCTTCTAACTAATGATCCGTTTGTCTGGCTAAGGGTGACTAGCGCTGGGGCTCCCGCATCCTTTCCCTCTGTCCACGAGCTGTGTCCACTGTGTTGTTGAAGAATGCTGCCTACAGAACACACTTCCACATCTCTCACAGCCGAGTTCAAGTCCAGCTTCCCTCACGAGGAAGGGAGACCCTGGTGGTCATTGTGACGGGATTTGTCTTGTGAGTGCCCCCCTTAAGTCAACACTACTCAATATAAAAACACTCTTAGAAGACTTAGTTAGGCTTTTAACATTAGATGGACCTTTTTTTAATAGGATGTAGTGCATGGAGTTGACCCATGTATAACTGAAGGCTTAAGTGTGTTGAGCTTGTAGAAGCCTGGGTTTGAGACTGTGGTCCTGAGAACCCGGATTGTTGAGTTGGGTGTCTGTGAGCTCAGGTGACAGAGGTGCTGTGTGCCTGCAGCTCAGACCCGGAAGCAGCCATTCACAGAAAAGTTCAAGGGCAGAAGGGTCAGCCTCACTCTCCATACCAGCATTGCTTTCCCGGCTCATGGATCTGAGGATTCCGTGGAGAAGAACATGTAGTCCTAAACTTTTTCTGTGGCAAAAGCCACACTCTTAAAACTTGTATTCTTGCAGAAAATTCGTCCTATAATTTCTTAATTGTTATCATACCATCCACATTAAAGAACATTACTGTCCTTTCTGTATTTGAGTAATTAGATATAGTTCAGTAAAGGAGACTAAGGAATATTTTCTTCCAAAAGGAATTTGAAGTCAATTTTATGGTATTTTGAAATTAAAGTACTCCCTACCATGTCATTATGCAGAAAATGCTGTGAGAATTTTCCACTGCTCAGGCACATGATCTGAGAAGACTTTTTGCTTGTTTATGTAAAGTAATTTTTGCTGTTTTCTGTTAAAGTCTGTGTCTTTTATGAAATCTTTTTACCGTGAAAGTGTAAAATTGGGCATCTCAAGAGTAACATGTGGGCTCATTAGCTAACTTCAAAGACGAGGCACATTGTGGAAGTTTCATGAATAATTTTTCATTGAGTCCCATCCCAGACTGTGCAGTTTCCAGAGTTTTCCTGAAGGGCAGCATTTTATCAAGGTGTAACGTGTAGATCTGAGACTCTTGGCTTGAAGATTCAGTGCTTTAGAAGTGGCTCCACAGTTTGACGATGTGGGAAAGACTCAGGCACACGTGTCACCAGATAGCGCATTGACCCCTCATCCTAAGTGTTCCCAGTTCCTTTGTATCTGATGGGTATGCGACTTGGGACATGTTTGTACCCACCAGCATGTGTTCCAGCAAACCAACAATACACTGACGTGCAGCTTAATTGATTAAATAAGCACTCATTCTGTTGATAAACTATTTCTTTGCAGCATTTATTTTAAACCGGTATTTTCTGCTGAAACAAAAGTTTCTTTGGCACCATGCCCATCTTTTTAAAGAACATTTTTCACACAAGGATTTGTGTCCACCCTCACTGGAAATGCATCTTTTAGTAAAAGGCGAAAGATTTATGCCATCTGAAGAGAAACCAGAGTATTGGAAATGCACCTTTTAGACATGACCTTAGAATATCATTGAAAAGTACTTGGTTTGATGTTAGTCTGTGTCTATCTTCATGGATTACGTGCCCAGGGGATTATCGGTGCCAGTATGAGGAATAAGAACAACAACCCGTATGTCAGGCTTTATGGTGTGTGATAAAACTTTAGGGGATGTGGTTTGATCTAGAATATATCCAAATCCATTTAATGATGATACAGAGTTAGGACAGGATTCTGTTCTTTTTAACCTTAAGTAGTGCTTGTTCCTCCCTGTATGAAGAATGTTAATATCTTGGATTATAAGTGTCCTGGTTATAAAGAGTTTACCTATGCAAGACAAATTCTAACGGTGCAACACGTTAATGGAAATTAAAAGTAGTGTTTTAAGAAGGAACCCCTCTGAATGTTTTTATGTGCAAGTGTCTAGCTGAAGAACCATAGAAACAAAAAATTTTAAAGCTCTTAAGTAACTATAACTGATGGAATATTAACCAATTACAAAGCAGTAGTAACTTACATTACTTTTTGGTTGCTATAACTCAATACAGTAAAAACTAAGAGATGTGAATGGAAAAATTAATATTTAATTGATAGGGGAATTGATTTTATTACACTTGTATGTTTATCTCCTAAGATTGCCTTTGCAGTAGCCAATCAGAACTTTTACAAATAAAAATAATCACATAGACCTTATGCTGCTGCACTTAAGCAAAAAATACTTTTACACCTGATTGAATTGCTCACTTAAAATTATTGAATTCCTTATATACATTTATTCTTCCCCTTTATTATGCTATTTCCATCACCATTTATCCCCCATATACCCTCTTGGGCCTCCCTTATATACATTTAAAATGTACTTCCCTGTATGATTACTCCCTCTTAAATGGTTAACTTTCAGTTTCTGAACTCACTATTTTTCCTAAGCATTCCAGGGATGTAGTATAAAAAACACACAAAAGATTTGTGCGTGGTAATACAATTTTTGGTTTAAATGTGAACAAGTGAGTGTTTAGGTTTGACTTTAGTATTGTGACATGTGCAACTGATCATAGAAAACAATACTGAATAATTTTCATAAATTTTTTTCAAATAGTCTTACCCCAGTTTAATTCCAACTACTCTTCTCCATTACTTACGGTATATCCTCCTATTTAGTTTTTTTTTCCCCCCTACATAATGTTTAGGAAAAGTGTGGACACATTATGAGTAAAAGGCAACACACAAAAAGAAATCTTACTCCGTTTATTGCTGTGGAAAGATGGGTAGGGTATGATGCCTGAGAACTGTTTTTATCGCATTATTTTCCCCAAAAAAGAACATGGCCTTTAAAAAAAAAACCATTTCAATTTAGAATCGCTTGAAAAGATTGGCCTGGGTAGAGAGAGATCCCAGATTTGAGATGGTACCATAGGAATGTTGTTACTTTTTATTCTCTTTCATTAGCTGGCCATAAGTTCTGAAAGTGCTAGGAAATCGCCATTTCTACTTTCAAAATCGCATTATAGTGAATGACTGTTTACAAAATACACATACTGTGAACAGATATAAGTTTTTGTTTTTTATAAGGTTCTTTGTAGAATGAGTGTTTTTTTCAAAAGGGATGTATGTTAAATATCTTCTTTTTTTTTTATAAATACTAGCAGCTGTTTACTAATTTTTGTTCAGTCAGGTGTGTGCAAATGTAGCTGAAAGAGGGAGAGGCTGCAGATCTAAACCTGTTCCCTTCTTCATTTCTTGAAATGTTACCACTACCGACCTTTTGTTTCTCTCTCTCTCTCTCTTTTTTTTTTACCTGAATGATCAGTCGTGATGTTCTGTATCTAAGATCATGCTTAGTCGTATAAGGAGAAACATTTACATACGTATACAGGAAGCAAACTGCAGGTTGTAGAACATTTGTGTGACTCACTCAAACTTGCAAAATTCTGAGTTCAATGTGGAATAAAACAACTCCACTTACAAATGTAACAAGTATTTTCTGCCTTGTGAAAATTTGGAGATTATGTGGTGTTAGAATGGAAAAATTTGGTCATTTTATATTGTATAATTTCAGAATTTAGTTTCCATATGTTTTGGAGAACATGGTTATAGCAAGAACATAGAATATAAGTAACCTATTACTAAGAGACCTTAAATGTAAAATTAGTACGCTTGGCTGTTAACTCTTAAAGATGTTACTTATGTCTGTTTTTAAAACATGCATGTATTTAACAATTTTATCATAGTATTGTCATGGAAAAAATAAATATATTTTCTTACAACTTACACTGAAAGATGTGGGCATTGTTTTGTTTTGTTTTTTCTTCTTGGGTGAAGCACTTAGGAAAAGTGGCTTCTGCTTTAATACTTTTGGTTCCATCCCTTAAGAATTATAGTGCTTACAAAATAGTCGCATAGGGCAGTCACTAAATTGGTATGCCATTGATATAAACCTTTGTATACTTCATTAAATCTATATTCGATTTACCAGGGGAGCTAGCATAACAATAATCAAATAGTGGGAATCTGACATTATCAAATAGATCCTGGTCCTTAAAATATGACTTTTAATTAATTTCCTATGAGGATAAGCATAAACATTTCTGGAGATTCTAGGAATACACAAAACTTTTATTGCAAGTTGTTGAATTTGGAAATAGAGTCATTGACTCAGCAGAACCTCAGTAATTTTAAAGTATGAATTGATCTTAAATAGAATTTCATAGGGGAGAAATTAAGTATTACCTAGAGCAGGGGTGGGGAACGTCCGGCCCCTGGGCCATATAAGGACTGAGAAACAGTTGGTCTGGACCTACGGAGGCATTAGGGGTGAGTTAATTAAATGTTTGACCAAATGCAGCAGGCTAATTTTTTAGTCAATAAATTTGTATGATCC